AGCTATTTAAGGTGCACTGCGGCAATTATATAACTGTGTCTGTCTCTTATACACATCTAGATGTGTATAAGAGACAGATTTAAGGCTTGATAATTAAACACAAATTTAGCAAGCTATACGGGATAATGACGTAACTATGATACAATATTACCATAAAAATGTTCTTCTTTTAAATAAAACAAGTTTCAACTTCATAACGTTCTTAGTTTTTTATTTATTAACAAATTTAAAGGGTTACTTAATTCTGGTTCACCCTGTATATGCATTCATTAATATACCCGACATGATATATACTCTCAGTAATATACACGACATGATATATACGGTGAATAAAATACCTGACATGATATACACTCAATAAAATATCTGACGTGATATGTGCACTCAATAATATACACGACATGATATATACACTTAATAATGCACCCGACATAACATAATCTATATTTTCAGGAAATTTGGTTTCCCGGAATACTATTGCCATTGAATTATGAAAATCATTAACAACGAGCAAGTGGCGCAATAAAATATTAGGAATAAATATTTTACCTTATTAAAATGTGGCTCAACCTTGAAGATCGTACTAAACTGTTTCACGGCTGAGTCAGGTCAGAGATAGGAATTATAAATACATGGTCTATCATTGCATAACATCAGTCAGACCAGGCAGACCTGCATTACGAGATATCTCGAGACATGGACTAGTACCTATAAAAAGACATGGACTAGTACCTATACTGAAACATGGACTAGTACATATATTGAAGAATAAACTAGTACGAAAACCAACTTACCGAGACATGGACTAGTACCAGTACCTATACCGAGACATGAGCTAGTACATATATTGAAGAATAAACTAGTACCAAAAATAACTTACCGAGACGTGGACTAGTTACCGAGACTTGGACTCCCAGTTGCTAGCATATGTGCCAGTTTCTGAACCAAACCAGTTTTTGTGGGATAGCTGCCTTGACGTAACCGTTCGATCAGTTGCTTCGTAGGAAAAGAAGTAGAAAGTAGATTGGGTTCGATCAGATGCTACAAGTACGGAAAGAAGTAGAAAATAGATTAGTCTCGATTGGATTAGATGCTACAATTAAGTACGAGAAGATGTAGAAAATAGATTAGTGTTGGTTCGATCAGATGCTCAAGTACGAAAATAAGTAGAAAATAGATTAGTCTTGGCTCAATCTGATGCTATAAGTACGAAAAGATGTAAAAAATGAAAATAAATCTGACTCGCTTCTACAAGATGAAGAAAGTAGGAAGAAGAAGTCGAAAGTAGAAGTACAATAGACTTAATTAGATCAGTACGAAAAGTTTCAGGGAGGAAGCTCTGATTCGTATTTTGTTACGAATAAAACTACGTACGAACAGACGCTTAGAGGAAACTAAGTTCGTACGATTGCTACGATGTATCGCGTAACTCGCGAGAGCAATGAATGTGAAGCCGATACGTTTATAGCTTGATGAGCTTATTATTGATGATTATAATTATTTTAATTATAAAATAATTGGTAATAATGACAATGATAATTATAATCTTAATGTAATAATTATAAGCAGGGTGTACTGAGAATTTGTGCAATTTATATCAGCTAGCCGGCGTGTGATGTCAACAAGCTCTGTAATAAAAACCTAATTTATGTGTATTATATACCTAATAATTAGGTATAATATATAATATTCGGTATATAATATCTATAATTTATATATACTACATATAAAATAATTTTTATTGTGATATTCTGATATTCGTGAAGCGAAATTCGAATTATATTCAGTTACAAATAACAATACAGTTCTAATTATCTTCAGTTTCAGTTCATCTGTGATTTACTTATTTTATTGTTAAGCCAAAATTTACCTGCATTTATTCTATTATAATTTTTATTGAATTATTTATTAATACTGCTGAACAGGAACTTTGAATTTGTGTTTGAATTTTAATGTGCGCTGTGCTGCTTAATAACATTAACACCAGCACTAACACAGCAGTTAATGTTGCATTTGGTGGGTGAATGTTATTGTGTGAGTGAATGTTGCTGTTGTGTGAGTGAATGTTGTTGTTGTGTGAGTGAATGTTGTTATTGTGTGAGTGAATGTTGCTGTTGTGTGAGTGAATGTTGTTGTTGTGTTAGTAAATGTAGTTGTGTGAGTGAATGTTGTTGTGTGAGTGAATGTTATTGTTGTCGATTTTTTTGTTTTGTTGGTAAATATTAGTGGTATTTGTCAGGTATTTGTGACCAGGTATAGTGATGAGTAACTAGCCTGTCATGCCCCAGGTATTAGTGACCAGGTATAGTGATGAGTAACTAGCCCGTCATGCCCCAGGTATTAGTGACCAGGTATAGTGATGAGTAACTAGCCCGTCATGCCCCAGGTATTAGTGACCAGGTATAGTGATGAGTAACTAGCCCGTCATGCCCCAGGTATTAGTGACCAGGTATAGTGATGAGTAACTAGCCCGTCATGCCCCAGGTATTAGTGACCAGGTATAGTGATGAGTAACTAGCCCGTCATGCCCCAGGTATTAGTGACCAGGTATAGTGATGAGTAACTAGCCCGTCATGCCCCAGGTATTAGTGACCAGGTATAGTGATGAGTAACTAGCCCGTCATGCCCCAGGTATTAGTGACCAGGTATAGTGATGAGTAACTAGCCCGTCATGCCCCAGGTGTTCACCTACAGCGCGGTGGGTGTAGGCTTCCTCTTCTTCCTCACGGGGCTCGTGGGGTGGATCGCTGGGGCGTCCGAGCTGCGGTGTGTCCTCAAGAGCGTGAGTTATTCATTGTTATATTGTTTATATATTCATTGTTATTCATAACAATATTGTTTTATTTATTAATTGTTATTCATCACATTGTTCTTTTATTTATTCATTGTTATTCATCACATTGTTCTTTTATTTAGTCATTGTTATTCATTACATTATTATTTTATATCTTCATTGTTATTCATTACATTATTATTGCATTTATTCATTATCGTTCATCACATTATTATTTTATTTATTTAGTGTTATTCAGCACATTATTATTTATATCTTCATGGTTAATCATCATATTATTATTTTATATCTTAATTGTTATTCATTACATTATTCATTTAACATTTATTTATTCATTGTTATTTACCACTTTATTGTTTTATTTATTCATTGATATTCATCACATTATTGTTTATTTATTCATTGTTATTCATCACATTATTGTTTTATGTATTCACTGTTATTCATCACATTATTATTTTATTTGTTCATTGTTGTTCATCACATTATTGATTTATATCTTCATTATTATTCATCACATTATTATTGCATTTATTCATTGTTATTCATCACATTATTATTGCATTTATTCATTGTTATTCATTACATTATAATTGCATTTATTTATTGTTATTCATCACATTATTATTGCATTTATTCATTGTCATTCATCACATTATTATTTTATTTATTCATTGTCATTCATCACATTATTATTCTATTTATTCATTGTTATTCATCACATTATTATTTTATTTATTTATTGTTATTCATCACATTATTATTTGATTTATTCATTATTATTCATAACATTTATTATAATACTCATCGCAATATTCTGACTGCGACTCCTGTGGCGATATGAATATTACGCATTCATTGCTCACATTATTCATCTCTGTATTTAAAACGAGAGTCCTCTGAAGTATAACTTAATTACAGATACTCAATGTTACTCATCACATTTGTCATGATATTAATCCCACATGCCACACATGAGTGCCGCATACGCTGCACATGCCACACATGAGTGCCACATACGCTGCACATGCCACACATGAGTGCCACATACGC